TAGCCGTCATGGCACGTGTCGTGGTCTGTACCAGGCACCGTACCACTGTCTCGCAGGTTCGGGATCCGATCGGGATCCGCTTCACCGGCGAGTACTGTCGAGTCTGTCGTGTCGTGGACATGTACATGAATTATTGTTGATCCCGATGCGACCAGCGCGCTGCATGCAGCGCACGAATGCATTGTGTGTAGATCTACCGCTTTATCCACGGTTGCATGGACAGCGCCCAGGCCAGGGCCTAGGCTAGGGGCCGCTAGACGTGCGACCGGATTTCCAAGTCCGCAACAGACTCAGTACTGTACAATCATTGAAGCATGCTGGTGCTGCTCCTCTTCCTGGTGCTGAGTGGTGGGAAGTAGAGCGCTGGGGCTGGATGGCAACTGCCCTCGCTGGTGTCATGGTGGTCAGGATCGGTGCAGCTCGTACATCTACACTACAGCCTGTAGAGGGGACGGTTTCAAATAGGACACAGGTTGCAAACCGGAGCGGACTCAATATTCACTTTCTCTCTTGGTATTTTGATTGGAAAACATATCTCACAGTGGGACTACGATGTGTTATACTCCGAGCCAAAATTTCATGGCTCTGCGATGACCAGAAGCGCCATATCAAGCAGGTGAGTTTTTGACGTGTTGCTTCGCACTGCGACTTGAGTTTTACGACTTTCGAAAAATCAACTTCTTGTCGCAGGTAAACAGCGGCTCGCCTCTCGCCAATCAAGCACCGCATACCAATCAAAACTAATGGAAGCACACACAAGGCTTATTGTTACTCTGTACTGGCCGTCGTGGAGCGATAGCAATTACCTAATTTCAGACCCAGAGTGAATTTGACGTGCACTCTAAAACGTGGCCGGTTTGGAGCCACCTCTGATTTGAACTTTTTTGAAGCGAAAAATTGGGCAACTTGGAGGCAATGGGTCAACACAAAGGAGTGGCTCAGTTCGATTGACTCTGGCCCCAGAGCAAACTTCAACATGCCAGTTTCCTTCCACAAACATATTTCGAGTGAAAAATCAACGCTGATGATCGGTTTGGGTCTATCCAAATTTGGCTGTCAAAGCGTCCCGGTATCGAGCCGTCCCCTCTACAGGCATGTGAGTGCTTCGCCTTGACGCTGAACAGAGAGGCTTGGGAGATACGACCCCGGGCCGATGAGCTTTAGGGCTCGGTGCTGTACCTGATCCAGCTATTTCAGGGTAGACTGGGACGCACCCAACCATGAAATGGGGCAGTACTCAGCCAAGCACTGATTGCATATTGGGTGGACGAAGCCGCGGTACACGGCATACTTGGCTTTGTTGTTGAGGGTTGGCAGAGCCTTCCTCATGAAGCCAAGACGTCGGTGACCACGAACTGCAACTTGTCGAATTTGATCGATGAGTACTCCAAGCAACTTCAGCTCCTCCACTTCCTCTATAGCCACCCGATTGAAAGTGGCTGGAGGAGTCGGCCAGAGTTGACGGTGATGGGAAATCGGCAAGACTTGTTGGGACTTTATCGGCTCGAATGTGATCTTCCAGCCCTGGCCACATTCTGTTAGGGCATCCACAGCAGTTTGGAGATGCGCTAGGCCAACTGGGAGTGGGAGAGCGGTCAGGGATGGGATGTATTGATATAATGACGTGGTATCATCTGCATATACATGTACATGTATGGCGAGCTGGGTTGTAGCTGGGAGTTCGGGCTTTGCACAAGGCGCTTCAGCTTGTGCTTTTGATGCTCAGACTTGGCAGTCGGGCAAAGGAGATCGCGTGCGAGAGGCATCTTTGCACTTCTTGCAGCTTGCAAGGATGGCACGGCAGAGAAAGAGGTGGTCCTCCATGTCATTGACATAATTATAAAGTAAAACCTGGTGTAAGCGACCTCTGGGTTTAGCGACCACCTGCTCTTAACGACTGTTTTTCCATGCACCGACAGTGACATGTATACACATACATGTATACTGTGGGACCTGGTTCTAAAGACCACCTGGCTTTAACGACCGCTTTTGCTTGCACCGTGGGGTGGTCGCTTAAACGAGGTTTTACTGTAGTGGGAACAGAGTGGGGCCCAATATGCTCCCACACAATTGTGTGTGTTATCATCTTCCTAGCCATGCCTAATGGCTCACATGTACACATGTAACGGTGCTACCCTAACCGTATTTGTAGATGTACCACTACATGTCATCACATTCACACATGCGCGCCGACTAACATGTAGATCTACTAGCAGGGAGTCGTAAAAGCGACTCCCTGCTTGCAAGATCAGCTACTACACATGTACTAGTACTACTAGACTACAATAATTATTATAAAAATTATTATTATTTTGAGTAGAGCGGCAAATGAAATGTTGCACGAGTCAAGCCAAAAGTCACACCACGCGCGCTGTCAGTGTCATGATCAGAAAAGCGGAGAAGAAGAAAAAACGCGTCACAATAATCGTCTCAGATTCAGACTCACCTAACGAGTAGTAACGTCGTTTCGCGTTGTAACCTGACCTGGTCATCAAGCAGCTGAAATGAAAATGAAAATACTAAGAAAATAGATGACTTGCACAAAGATTGTCTGGGTTCGAGACGGGGCAAGTGGACCTTCTGACTCTGACTTCCTCACCTTTTGAGTTCGTGACTTTCGCATTTTGGCTGACGAACACTGAGCTAGTTTTTTTGGCTAGAGAGTAGCCTGGTGAGTTGTTTTGATTCGGCTTGTATCGTCAAGCCGAAGCGCTGCTGCGCTCCTGAATGCACTAGCAGACGAGAGATGGAACTGAGGCTCCCATTCCATACGGTCCTTTCCGAGCCGGCCGGAAAAATGAGGGAATATTATTTTAGGATCACTGGTGTAGGCTGCAACAAGCACGTCATGGTCCTGAAGTGTGACTACTTTCCCGCAGTGCAAGCCGGAAGTCAAGCACAACGAAAGTTTGTGGACGCCTGAGAAGGAACTCGATTCCCTTTGATTCGGCTGCACTAGCTCCAGAGCGACCCTCTCCTGAGGACAGACTTCGGAGAGGCCAGGAACCTGCCGAGTCACGAGTGGAAGCCCAAACCACGAAAATGAAGGATGGAAGGAGAGCCAGATGGCCTTTAGTAGTACTTCAAGTAGTATCTGAGTTGAAGGAGAGAACAAGTGTGCTGGAGAAACGCGGCGAAGTCCTCAGGCCTGATGTGTACTAGCTACTGTTGAAGTCACACTTGTTCCGATATGAACATTTCATCAGCCCTGATTCTGAGCAGCCGTATCTAGACTTGGACTTAGGCCGAAGACATAGCATTGTAAACCTTACTGAAGCCATAAGTATCCAATGCCTGGATCTAGTGAGAAAGCAGTTTGGCACAGGCTCACAAACTGTGATTGAATCAGGGAGTGGTGGAAAGTCACATTATACCTCTCCATGATTAGCTGGTAATGACGTTGATGCGGCTCCGACTGGGTCTCATGGGAAAGTAACTTGCATACCTGTTTAGTTGCAACGAGGCAACGGTGCCCCATGTATGAAGACATGATTGAACTACATTTTATCTCCTCCTGGGAGAATGTGGAACAAATAATGCCAGAGTGTGTCTGATACACATCACAGTCTGCTGAGTGTGTTCATTATCGTGGACGTGACAGAACTGCGCTGTGAGGTACCTTTTGCGTTGGACCTACAGTTGAGCCACTACTCTTCTTCCAAATTCCATACAACGGTGAAAGGATTTGTTGGAGCATCATCAAACAGTGCATTCACCTTCATCATACACTGGCTCCGTTGCCTACAGTAGTTCACATTTTGACGGGGCGCGCTGGGACAATACGGAAGGAGCGGCGGGAACCACTGGAGTACTCATGATGCTGGTTAGCGGAGACGGATGTGAGTGTCAGGAACGGGAACGCAACCGCACTACTGTACAGATCAGGAAGCGATGGAAGAGTTGAATCTGTTCAACCTTCCATGCCGTGTACAGGGACACAAGCGTAAAAATGGCTACATTTCGAATGTGAACTGGCGATGGCATTGTGTGGCGACGAACACAACTACAACTGTTCAAATTTTAGTATTTCGAACAATATGATTCCCATGATAACTCACTGAATGACTCAAATGACGGAGTTGGACATTACCGGGCTAGGATTATCATTTGCTGTATTTATGGATAGTCCTTGAGTTTTCAGATGAAGTGCTTCATCTTTTCCTGTCGTTCCTTTAGAATGGCACAATGTCCATGGCTGCTTTCTTGTCTTCATAACAGACTGGTATAATCAGCATGGTTCTTCCTTATTTGAGAAGAAATAAAACTTTCCTTTTGGAAAGGAAGCCCAGAAACGTCAACCCCCATGGACTGTGCTTTATGACTCTCGTCCATCGACGTTAACCGTCGCAATAACTGCTGCATGTATTTTGTGCTGTGCGAACGGTACAAGATTTTACAGCTCGCCCATGCCTTCCCAACAGGCTCCTACATTGTATATCCCGGACCGTTAGTGTTACATTGAATATGAACTAGGCTAGCACAGTTATCCTTCGTTCTTTTCATGGCGGCACGTAGCATGGAACTTGACGTGTTCTTGGGATCCTCGTTCAACACTTGCTGTTCCCGGATGCCATATTATTGGGTGCATGGAGGTTGCTTCTATGCTCACTGTTGTTTGGTAAAACAAATTTGTTATAACTATTTCACTGAAGAATAAGGCAAGAGCATTTTGGGTTGGTTTGGACACCTGGCTTCTCTTCACATAATAATAATTATTATACAGTCATGTACTTCCACTAACCTACAAGTACAAGTGCACATGACTCATGTCATGAGCTGCTGAAGACAGTCAGTAGATCTACTGGTCATCTACAATCATGTACATGCCGTGCACCGTTCATTCATGCTGACAAAAAAAGCACACTACAGCTAGCTATACAGACAGTCTACAGACGGTGTAGGGTGCCCGCAGTGTAGCCTGGGTGCAAAGCAGGGAGTAGTAAAATACAACTCCCTGGTGCAAAGGGTGCACTAACTATTACTTGGCTTGGCCCGTGTCACTCGCGGCTCAGATCTTTGTGCAAGTCATCTATTCTCCTGACATTTTGTACTAGTACAAGATTCGTTACCACGTTAGTAGAGTGTTTGTGGTACTTTACCCAATTTATCTGGTGATAGTCGCTGGCAAAATGGCCTCTGCGTACTGCCTTTGTCTCGTTTTGATTCTCCTGGGCACGTCAAACGCGCAGTTGGGAGGAGAGCCACACGATAATGCCCACCGAGAGTCCATGGTGTCCGTCGGCAGAGCGGTAGCTGCGGCGGTGTCGTCCGTTCCGCTTCGCAACGCTGCAGTCCCCGGGCTGCGTATGCCCGTAGTGGGAATCGGCACGGGTGGCTACGCCTTTTCTCCGTCGCAGCACGGAGAGATATGGAATGACACCACTGCCCAAAAGGTACATTATAACAGTTTATAGGCCACACTGTCACAACAGTTTACCTATGTTTTTAGCCAGCAAATTCCACAGTAAGATACACTAGAGGGCGATGAAAACAAAACAAAAAAAGGAATCTGAAAAGTCAGGAAACAAAAATGTAAATCACCGAAAAAGGTTTTTGATTTGCCTTTCATACAGTAGACTCGTACGCCCAAGAACGTCCAGGCTGGAAATCTAAGAACGCCCCAGCCCGGATTTAAGAACGAACTCCAAGATTTTTAAGAACGCGGATTGCACCTTCATGATCTTGTCCTAGTACACGAAAAACAAGTCCGCAACCACAAACTCTTGTCGGGTCCTCCCGAAAACATCACCCAGTGCAGCGCTACATACTACACGTGCATGTAAAGTGTACAACCGGTACACAGTACATGTAGGGTAAAGTGCATTGTACATGAGCGTCACGGGTGGTCATGTTGGACGCGTAAGAACGCGAAATAAGAACGTAGCCTGGGACGCTGAAAAATAAGAACTTTGCTAGGCTGGCCCTCTGAAACCGCGTTCTTGGGCGTACGAGTCTACTGTACCTTGATTAGTCTTTCATGCAGTCATCACCAAAAACAATCCGGCTAACGCCATGGATACAGTGCACTAGTGGCACTGGTAAGTGGTATGGTACATGTTCACCGGCACACCGACAGTTCTTCATACAGTCAGTACGTGACATGGTGCCTTCGTGGCATGCATGTATTTACAGACTACCAGCACAGGACTGAGCAGTCTGCGCTGCGTGACTCTGCCCAGCCTGCTGCTGCCGTCGAGTCGAGCGCGGCCCATGCACCATACAGCTACCAGTAGCTTAGCATGGCATTGGCCGGATTTTTTGGCGACGACTGTACATTGTGCCTTTCATACGTTGTGCACTAGTATGACAGAGTAGGTAGATAATAACGTCCTCAGCAGTGCACATGCGTTGTTGGCCAACACTACTGAGTTGATCCTGGTAATGACCTGAGCAAGTTGATCAGTGACTGCAGACATGTGTAGCAGTAGACATACACATACACATACAAACTGATACGGTCACACCTGTACTTTCACACACCTGAGAAAACGAACACCTTTCACACACCTGAGAAAACGAACACCTTTCACACACCTGAGAAAACAAACACCTTTCACATACCTGAGAAAACAAACACCTTTCACACACCTGAGAAAACAAACACAATTCACACACCTGAGAAAACAAACACCTATATAAAAGTGAGGACAGCCCGTTGCGGTCTTATTGATTTTGGGTACGTTTTAGTATGCGGGAACACTTGAAAATGCGGTCGCGTGTGAAATGCGAAATGCGGACACTCTCTCGCGTGCCCCACAGAACTGTTTTGCACTGATCTCAGCCTGACAAATGCAGACATACTGACTGGGATACATGGGTTCCTGCACTCTGATGTAATTGTATAATATTTGGACTGCAGGATCGTACATACATGTACATATCATACAGTTGTAAAGTGTAACCTCCCCCCCCCCCCCCCCCCCCTCTCTCGAGATATTTAAAAGCGTAATCGTGTGGTGACGAGAAGCATAGAAAACAATTACGTGTGGCTAAAGCTGAAAAGAAACCTTTGTTGTTCAGCGCACAATGGACCTCATTTGGATGGTAAGGTCACTCTGACTTTACTCCGTTATTGAGACAGAACATCAAACCAACCACAGCACTATCGGGCGCTGACGAAATGGCTGGTCAGAGTCATAGTCTAGGCCGTTCCGAATTTTCATGTACAGCTCTATGCACAGTTGGGTCAAAAACGTTACAAAGGCAACAACACAACTTGTAAGAATGGACGATCGATCGAAGATCAATGAAACATTTTCAAGACGCACTGGCTAAATGAGTCTGGCAGATTTCAGCCGGGCTTTTTTTAGCTGGAAGACGCGCGGCAGAAAAGGAATGGGATTCAGACGAAGCCATGGAAAAGGGGAAATTTTTCTGCATGTGTGCGGCTGTCTACGTGGGTGAAAGATGTGCAATGTGAGAGTGGCATTATACTGGTCTAGGCTTAGCAGGCTGTTTGTGCTTAGGAAAACCCCACTGCACTCTCAAGGGAGAATGACATAGTGGAGATAAGGGGAAGACTTTGAGGTGAGATTCTCAGTTGCGTACATTATTATACTAAGGAAGTTGTATGTGCATGGACAGCACATGTGCTTTAGCAGTTGTGTGTGTGCATGTGTAGTGCTATTCCCAGCATCATGGTGCACACTTTAGATTTCATGTACTGGTACATGAAATCTAAAGTGTGCACCTGCTGACCATTTCTGCATGGGTGTCTGTCCGTGTCCAATTTGCCTGGTACAGATGTGCCGGGTCCCAACTTGCCCAGTCACAACGTGCCCGGGTCCAACATTCCAGAGCCAAAGTGCCCGGGTTCGTTGTGCTCGGTCCCCACTTACCCTGTCCCAACGAGCCCAGGTCCGACTTGCTCAGGTCCAACTTGCCCGGGTCCAAAGTGCCCGGGTCCAAAGTGCCCGGGTCCATTGTGCCCGGTCCCCACTTACCTGAGTACAACGTGCCCGGAATAGGATAGTCCTTGTGTAGTATAGGAGCGATTTTTTTCCAGCCGTTCTGCTACCCGCAATCAGCTGAGAACTTGTGACTAGGCACAAAGGATACAGTCATAGCCACGGGTTTTCGGGTTTACAGCACTTGTACCAGTGGTCTTGACTTGTGAGACTTATCCCCTCGACCCCATTCTTAGGCGCTGCATCTTCCACCAAACTTACCGGGCGTTAGCGGCCGTCGTGAGTTCCCTCTGGAAAGTACACAATAATAATAATAGATTTTCATTGGTTTGAGGGAAAGATACAAACGGGAAAAAATCTGAAGAAATAATTGACTGTCACCACCAGGACTCGAACCAGGGACCTTCGCTTCAGGCCAGAGTTGCTCTAACCACTGATAATTCATACATCATTTGAAAACCAAGAACCAGGCCAGTGATGTCCCGCATCCGAGTGTCAAAATAATATATTCGTTTTTTATGAATGAAAGGAGAAGGACAAAAATAGTACGAGTTATGACTAAAAATCCAGCAACGTAACCAGATCTTCTTGTCCGTTTTGTGCCATCCTGTCGCACTGGCTGACTGTATATGATCTGGCTACGTTGGTGGACAGTTATTCATATTTCGCACCATTATTGTCCTTCTCCTTTTTATCCATAATTAAATTGGCTCACCATCCGAGTTATTGTTTTTCTGTACTATGAACGCAGAGTGCTTTTTTCGCTGTCTTCTCGCTCGCTGCAGGCTGTGCGTAAATGGATACAGCTGGGTGGACGTCGTATTGATGCCAGTTATAGCTATACAGACCAGATTGGGGTTGGCAAGGCCATTGCTGCTGCTATTGCCGCTGGTGAAGTGACCCGGGAGGAGCTGTTTGTCGTGTCCAAGGTATGTTTGTGTTTGAGCGTGTGTGTGTGTGTGTGGGGGGGGGGGGGGGGTGCTGTGTGTGTGCGTGTGTGTGTGTGTGTGTGTGTGTGTCCCATATGGTGCAGTGGTATGTGCAGCGATTTCCAATCGATAGATTGCGGGTTCGATTCCCGACGATTATGGTCACACACGTCTTTCTTCTCTTTCTCAGACTCTTCCTGACTTTTCTTTCATTCTCCTGGGTGGTTACCAACAGCCAGTGCATGCCGGAGTATGTGGTGTGATGTGTGTGCGGGAAAAAAAGAAAAAATGAAAAAAAAAAAAAAAAATGAAAAAAGACCAAAAAAAGGGATTCACTGGCCAGAAAATGTCACTCCAAATAGCTGTATGGTGTAGACCAGGCTGAATAGTGACGGTCAATTCTTCAGCCTTGCAAGCTGTTGAATGGTGTAATCCCAGCACAAGTTGCTATGGCTTCTGCCGTAGCATTGCTATCATTGCCTCCGGCGATGGGCGTCAAAGGTCAAAGGTCAAAGGTGTGTGTGTGTGTGTGTGTGTTTATGTGTGTTTATATGATTACATCAGGCTTGTAGTCCGTAAAGATGACATCATACTGTACTTGTATCATTACATCATTGTGTTTGAATCGTTTGCACACAAATCGCCTACACTCAACTATGCACTGGATCTCACTAAAAATCCAGTATTTTATCAACATTAAATTTTCAGCTACCGTCACCATCATCAGGAAAACATTGAGAAAATACTGGATTTGTGTGCAATGCAGTGCATGCATGAGTGTAGGTCAGGTGCCTGCAATTGTTCCGTCAGGCGAAATAGCACGTCATAGTACATTTGAGATCAGCGGGAAGAAGATGACGACGTCCACTAATTTAGTATCTGTGCACACGAATCTGCTGTGTGTGTGTGTGACTCTGTGTGTCAGCTATGATATCATCCCCTGTGGTTCCTTGCCTAGCATGTACGTCTGAACCATCCTGCAAAGTTTGAATGACGTGGGTTGAGCGATCGCTCCGCGAAACATACCTTTTGAAATTCTCTTCACAGTATATCTTCCACCATTGAAATTTTGAATTTCTTGCTGAGAGGGGTGGCTTGCAACCTCGATATGGCTTGTTCCAGGCATGCTTTGGAGCCATCCCCTGTTGAAGTAGTGGCGGGGATCTGCCCTGCAACTGCTACAACAAAAAATGATTCGATCTGAGAAAGGGTGAGACCGCGAATCTCGGTTGAATATTGAGTATTTCAAGCCTTTTCACGATGAAGATGGAGTTCTTTTTGGAGATGGACGTCGCGGCAAAGGACATGGTGTCCGACTTCTGGCGTCTGGTGAAGCCAGGGATCATTTGTCCAGTCAGGTCGGCAGCCTAACCGTCGGTAAGCTTGTGTTTGGATCCCGTTCTGCTCGATGTGGTAGATCACAAACAATTTGATATCGCACAAATTGATCTCAGCGTCGTGCGTACGGTATTTTGTAATCAGAAAATCGCAAAGTGTCTCTGTGTGGCCCTCCTATGCCACGAGAAACTCCAATCAGGCTCCTATGTCCTCTGCCTTCATGATTGAATGTCCACTTCGTTTGAACAACGAACACAGCAATCGAGGACGGCTTTGCAATGAAAAATACAGCTATACTGGAGCTGAAAAAAAAGAAGAAAAAACGTGCTCAGGATGAGACTCGAGTACAAGCATGCTCTCCCAGCAGGTGAAACGCAAATTTTTGTGAAAAAAATGCGTGTCGCCGACTGACCAGTAATTTCGCCTGACGCAGTTTCAGCAAGCTGCATGGGACATCCTTTATACATTCACATCACAGTCTATGTTGATCATTGGTGATAAGTGGCGTGGTGTGTACAACAGAGCTGCAGCCACAGTCATGCCATAGGAGATCTGCTTAAATTCTGCTTCTACACACTTTCATCACTAAAAGATTTATCCAGGAATTTGTAAGCAACTGAGTCGGGTTTTGAGCTGCTCACTCTTGCTCTCATGTACTCTATCCCAAATACATATCTGACCGAGCAGTCCGGACAACACCATAGCTTGGTCGTAGAGTGTTGTAGGCCATGAACTAGGGCCCCTTGTTTGATTCCTTGTGGCTACATTCAATGTGTTCTTCAGCCTCTACCTGTCTCAACTCACTCCTATTTGAGAGGCGGTGATTTCAGATAGGTTAGGAAATTATCAACCACCACCCCCCTCTCTCTCCCTTCACCCCTGCCCCCCCCCCCCCCTCCCTTCACCTCCCAGCACCACACCACACATAAATCAGAAGAGGTCATTGGTCATTTGTGGGTGAGGCTGATTTCAGGTCCACTGGTCAGTGTAGGGCAATTTCACTTGATAATCTTTGCTATCATGTTAGAATCCATAGTTCAACAACGAGAGAGCTTGGAAGCTCAGGGCCCTACCCTATGCTTTTTTGCCTTGATAACCTAGACAAAAAAAAGCATAGGGATGTTATAAATTCTTAAAAAATTCCTTTTTTTAAGACATAACCTGGGATTCCAACCCGCACTATCGCGCGCCTTGCATGCATCCCCGATACACTTCGCATACATACTAATTCTTCCAAGTTGCTTCACGTTATGATCTTGCATTTGAAAGCCCTATTTGAATATGCATTGTGGCCAGCCGTCTTTGATGGTACGGTACAGTACGGGACAGGTACGATCGAGGGTAATACGACACCGTCTACCGCCTTGATGACGGCAAAAAAAGCATAGGGATGTTATAAATTTTGCAATTCTCCTATTTTTTTCAGGCATATCTTGGGATTCGAACCCGCACTGTCGCCCTACATGCATACACTTCGCATTCATACCCATTCTTCCAAGTTGCTTCACGTTATGATCTTGCGTTTGAAAGCCCTATTTGAATATTGCGGCCAGCTGTATGTGGCCAGCTGTGTTTGATGGTACGGTACGGTACGGGACAGATATAGCGCCAGGCGTGACACAAACAAACAAACAAACACACAAATAACAAATTAGAGCTGTGTGGACCCTGGCTAGCGCAAGACGTTACTGAAGTAACGTCTTCTGCATAGCTACGGGAATAGTGACAACTTGTTGTTGTCGTCGGCATCCGTTCGATAATTCATACTGTACTCTATTCTCTATTTTGCATGTGCACGCTTGTGTGTGTGTGTGTGTGTTTTTGTGTGAGTGTGTGCGTGTGTATGTGTGTTTGTGCGTTTGTATGCGTGTGTGTGTGCATGTGTGCGTGTGTGTTTGTTTGTGTCCATGGTTACTTGAAGGTTGGAAGTGGAGGTCTGATTCCCGGTGCAGCCATGGGTTACAATGACACAATGGTTCAGATTGGCCCCATTTTATCATCATTGCAGGTAAAATGCACTGCTGGGTCTGGAGAGAGAATGAGTGTGGGAATGAGTGATTGAGTGAGTGGGTGAGTGATTGAGTGAGTGAGTGAGTGAGCGCATGAGCTGGTGATGCTTGTGCACATGATTGTGATGATGGTGATGGCTGTAGTGTTGGTGCTACTGGCAACTCTGGTGGTCGTGCTTGTGCGGATGGCAATGGTGGTACGTGTGCTGGTGGTATCAATGGTATCAGTGATGATACTGGAGTGCCGGTGCTGGCATTGGTGATATGTGCAGCACTGGATCCAGTATTGACACAGACCAGTTCTTGTGTGGTGTCTGTATAGTGATTTGTCTGTGTGTTTGATGGGTTGGATGGCGTGTTGTTGAGTGTTTATGACAGTGTCTGTATACTAGTGTTGATAGCCTGCATTCAGGCTAGTGTAGTATCTGGTAATGAGCCAACCCAGACATGTTTTCAAACCCAATACGCATGAGTTGGAGAACACCACGACCAGAGCATGTTCTAACCACTCTATACCAATGTGATGAAATGTTGTCCCGGGTTTCATATGTAATGATATGGTTATAGCCAGTCTCAAAGGTCTCTGACCTCGCCTGCAATTTATCTGCCGTCCCTAGAGAAATATTTCAGCGGGCAGCACCTGTGTGACATCTCCCTTGACAGCGACTAGTCACAGCACACACACACACACACACACACACACACACACACACACACACACACACACACACACACACACACACACACACACACACACACACACACACACACACACACACACACACACACACACACACACACACACACACACACACACACACACACACACACACACACACACACACACACACACACACACACACACACACACACACACACACACACACACACACACACACACACACACACACACACACACACACACACACACACACACACACACACACACACACACACACACACACACACACACACACACACACACACACACACACACACACACACACACACACACACACACACACACACACACACACACACACACACACACACACACACACACACACACACACACACACACACACACACACACACACACACACACACACACACACACACACACACACACACACACACACACACACACACACACACACACACACACACACACACACACACACACACACACACACACACACACACACACACACACACACACACACACACACACACACACACACACACACACACACACACACACACACACACACACACACACACACACACACACACACACACACACACACACACACACACACACACACACACACACACACACACACACACACACACACACACACACACACACACACACACACACACACACACACACACACACACACACACACACACACACACACACACACACACACACACACACACACACACACACACACACACACACACACACACACACACACACACACACACACACACACACACACACACACACACACACACACACACACACACACACACACACACACACACACACACACACACACACACACACACACACACACACACACACACACACACACACACACACACACACACACACACACACACACACACACACACACACACACACACACACACACACACACACACACACACACACACACACACACACACACACACACACACACACACACACACACACACACACACACACACACACACACACACACACACACACACACACACACACACACACACACACACACACACACACACACACACACACACACACACACACACACACACACACACACACACACACACACACACACACACACACACACACACACACACACACACACACACACACACACACACACACACACACACACACACACACACACACACACACACACACACACACACACACACACACACACACACACACACACACACACACACACACACACACACACACACACACACACACACACACACACACACACACACACACACACACACACACACACACACACACACACACACACACACACACACACACACACACACACACACACACACACACACACACACACACACACACACACACACACACACACACACACACACACACACACACACACACACACACACACACACACACACACACACACACACACACACACACACACACACACACACACACACACACACACACACACACACACACACACACACACACACACACACACACACACACACACACACACACACACACACACACACACACACACACACACACACACACACACACACACACACACACACACACACACACACACACACACACACACACACACACACACACACACACACACACACACACACACACACACACACACACACACACACACACACACACACACACACACACACACACACACACACACACACACACACACACACACACACACACACACACACACACACACACACACACACACACACACACACACACACACACACACACACACACACACACACACACACACACACACACACACACACACACACACACACACACACAGTTAGTGTGAACGTTGCAGTGCAGAATCCTGCTTGATCATTGCATATTGTATAAGCAGAAATAGTCGTCTGGAATTTAATTTCGTCTTTTTCCTCCATGGAGCTTTTGAACTAAATCAAATTCCAGACTAATGTCAATTTGTCCAGCTTTTCAATACACTCTTATGATCCATGGATACAATTTACAACCGGACGAACTCCCTTTCTTTGGAGTTGGACGAAATTATTGACCAGCGGAAATTTCTGCTTGATCATAGCATCCATACCTGTCAACCTTTGCAAACCTGAGATCGTGACAATGGCATACCTAGAAATTAGGGGTGAAACGGTTCGGGTAAGGAACCGGTTTTGGAACCGCCAGCTGAAAAGAGTCGGGTACCCGTTCCGTCAAATTTCGAACCGAAACTCGAAAAAACCCTGTTCTTGTACAAATACATGTACACGTCAAGTCTACTCAAGATTTTAAAATGTCTTACCTTACGATCCTCACTCTTCCAAAGAGTTCTCTGGTCATTATATTCTTCGCACTTGGACTCTCCGATGTCTCATTCTTCCTCGTAAAAATGTTTTTTTCTAAAAATTAATTGTCGCGAACGCATTTTGTCGGTCTGGAGAAAAGAATGCATGGAACCGATACCCGAACCGTGGGAAACAATGCTGGCATTCGGGTACCCGAACATGAAAAACATGGAACCGTTTCACCCCTACTAGAAATGTATACACCTGTAGTTGTGAGGCATATGACAAATACACTTTTGGGTGTGAATTACCACCCTCGATATCGGGACGGTCCTGGCCAAAATCGGGATAGTTAGCAGGTATGATATCCTGTTCAGCGTTCGTACCAACAAGACTCTTGCATTCCGGCATTTCTTTCTGGCACTACCGTGAAATTCAGAACTCTCTCAGAATCTAACCTGATATTTGCGGAAAGGATATATGTTTGTGTGTTCGTATTTTGACGTAAGAGAAATGCACAGAGGGACAGGACTGAGCGCAACGGGGATAACGTATTGAAGACAGCCATGATAGGTTCTGTCCCTCTGTGCAATTGTCCTGTCACTTTTCCCTTGTGTACTTGTTTCTGTCGAAATTAAGTGCCAGTTTGTCGTCATTAAGGGGATCGTCAACTACTTCTTAATTATGCATGAGGACACATTTTTGTCTATATGTATGCATCTTTCTCTATGTCTGTTCCTCGGTCTGTTATTTTGTGTGATGACAAGGTCACTAAATAGCAGCAAGAGGTGATAAACAATAGTGTGTCACTCCGCATCTCTTGTGCACAACCTGCAGATACCCGGCCCATGGCAGAATTTATATTGACGTCACCTTCGTACAGAGCATGGGCATTTTGCCGCAAAGCAGTGTGAGAGCACGTGCTGGGAGCTGACCTTGTAATGTAAAGCCCGGCCAAGTGCGCCAGGCCAAACTTCCCAAAATACTTGCAACGTGTGTGTCGTAGAAAAGATTACGTCAACAAAGCGTTCCACCGTGGGCCAAATCATCCGGGAGTTGCACACTCTTGTTTATCTACCCTTGACGAAGGTGACGTGAAAAATAATTCTGCCATGGGCCGGGTATCTGCAGATTGTGCAGAAGAGATCCGGAGTGAAGCAGTATTTAGCTGAGTCTAAATGTTTCTCCTTCAGTGTGATTCGCCTATCTACGGCTTTGTGATATTTAACGCAAAACTTGTTGCTAGAAATTTGGTGACATGTCATCGAGTGGAAAACAATCTTCTTCCAGATATCTGTCTGTCTGTCTGACTATTATGTCTGTCTATCTGTCTGTCTATCTGTCTGTCTGTCTGTTTGTCTGTCTATCTGTTTGTCTGTCTGTCTGTCTGTCTGTTTGTCTGTCTGTTTGTCTGTTTGTTTGTCTGTTTGTTTGTCTGTCTGTCTGTCTGTTTGTCTGTCTTTCTGTGTGTTTGTCTGTTTGTTTGTCTATCTGTTTGTCTGTCTGTCTGTCTGTTTGTCTGTCTGTTTTTCTGTTTGTTTGTCTGTTTGTTTGTCTGTCTGTCTGTCTGTTTGTCTGTCTTTCTGTGTGTTTGTCTGTTTGTTTGTCTGTCTGTCTGTCTGTCTGTCTGTCTGTCTGTCTGTCTGTTTGTCTGTTTGTTTGTCTGTCTCTGTCTGTCTGTCTGTCTGTCTGTTTGTCTGTTTGTTTGTCTGTCTGTTTGTCTGTTTGTTTGTTTGTCTGTCTGTCTGTCTGTCTTTCTATCTGTCTGTCTGTCTGTTTGTTTGTTTGTATGAATAATAACAGTCATGTATGTCTGTTCGTACGTGTGTGCATCTATTCCGAAACTTGTGTTCCTGTGGCAGATGAAGTACGTTGATCTGCTTCTCATCCACTGGCCTGGACCACCGGGCAAGAGTAAAGATCCAGCTTGCCAAGGTCAGCCAGCCACATTCAAGACTTGTCGCCAGCAAACATGGAAAGCTCTCCAGGACATGTTCAAACAAGGTGAATGAAAGCAACAGAAAACAGTGTCTGTCGGATTGTCTGTGCAAACTACAGTATACTGGTCAGCTTGTCTCTGCCTGTTTTAATAAACCTATGCCTATTTGTGTTCGTGTCAGTCTATCTGTCTTTGCTGTGTGACAGT